GGGTACTGGAGGCCGAGCAGAAGAAGACACAAGTGGCATTTTTAGACGCCCAGTAGTTGTAGGCTAGGTCTAGGCGGGTACCAGTCTGAGTCTAGGGCCTGTACGGGCAATATCAGAGTCTGTAGTGATGTTTGCCTCCGAAAGGGAGGACGTACCGGTTGCTTGGAAGGCCGAGCGGCCTGGAAGTCACTGCCCAAGAGGCAAGCAGGCCACTATATCTCCAGGCCAGGCAAAGAGCCCGGCCTCATTGTCGGTGTGCAAGTTTGGCGACACACTGGTTGGAGCGCTGGCTGGAGCAGCGCTAGCCTGGAGCAGCGCTGCTGGGGAAGAAGCAAGGACTTGGAGGAGGAAGGACAGGAAGGGGGAGGAGCGCCAGAGGTACTTACCTGGCTATGGTGGCAGCCATCTTCATCACCATGGTGGGCGCTGCAGCAGGGAGACCCCAGCTGGGGAGAGCTACACCAAGAAGCTTCGAGGCAGAGTCAGGCATGGCGGCCTGAGCTAGAGCAGCCATAGCTGCTTTGCGTTGTCCTTTGCACAGCAGGGCAAGGCGCTAGTAGTCCGCCATAGCCTCGGCGTATGAGAGTGAAGAGTGAGGGCGGCAGCCATGGCTATGGTGGACCTCAAGTGATACCTGCAGTAGAAGAGGGATTCAGACTTTGATTCTGGTTCAGCTATTCAACATTGTATTATTATTTCTTGTGTGAATGAGAGAGGAGGAGATAAGGAGGAAGAGAGGGTTGAGTGAAGAAGAAGAGCTTTATCATTTGTCTATGCTGGTGTACATCATCTTCTTCTTCTTTCTTTCCTCTTCTTCTTCTTCTAACCTTCTCTCTCTTGTCAAGTTCATTCATTTCTTTCTGCAATTGGATGGCATTGTACTATCTGATGAATGTGCATCTCGAAATTGGCCAGGATCATAACATGTGTGTGTGTGTGCATGTGGATGCTTGTGTGTCCCAATGACTTGCTGAGAATGTGGGTTATAACAGATTGTTTCCAGGGACATTCATTGGTAAGAGTGAGCTGTCATCTTTAATGATTGTATTGATGCTTTGGTTGTACTCCAGAATGTGCAGGGTGGACTAAGTGGATGATCTTGCTTTTTTCCTTTGATATTTAACCTCACTGAGCACCAATTTTTTATATTGGATACTGGAATCCAGGAATTCTGTGATGAATTGCTGCTCTTTCTGCCTGGAGTATCGCAAAAGAACGTTTTGCTTTGCCCCATCTCCCTCAAGTCACTTCATAGAGGTGCCATTTATATCTGCCTGAGACTAATCGAACGACTAATCGAAAGAAAACTGGTAGGCTGTCCATAGGTTAGGAAACTCCTGTTCCTGGCCTGTTTAACGCATTATCAAACTCACTTGTATCTGGTTATCAGCAGGGAACTCTGCAGGCTGTTGAGTCTGGTCCCTCGTGAAGCAGTCTCTGCAAACCGCATTTGTTTTACGGTGTATTGTATTCTTTCTACCTCTGCAGCGGGCTTGCCAGTGAACTTGTGGCACTTCTCTATTAAATTGTGGCAAAGAAAGAAGTGTTCGTTTGATGATCTATGTCAGGATATAGGCCTCCACTGCTGGCACGGACAAACCACCATCCAACCACAACTGACAACCTGGAATGGAGAGCAACTACTGCCTTGAAGGATACTACCGAAGATAATCGAGGTTACCACGTGCTTCCATCTATCGAGACAGGTTCAACCCACTTCCAGGGAGGCTAATGAAATAATGCAGGCCAGTTGCGGATGGGAAAAAAAGCTATAAACACAACTGGCTTCAGCTCCTGGCTCTGTTCACTAGTCTACATAGAGAGGAGGGGAGAGCAAGAGAGAGGAAGAGAGGCTTAACCTGGGTCCTTCCTCGTTGTTGGTGATCATGCAGCTGCGAAATCCACTGACTGGGAGGTGGTAGAAGGTGCCAAGGCTTTGTTGCAGATAGCAGTCAGGAAGACATTATGGGCTTCTCCAAGCCAGGTGGGTCCATGTTGAAAGACACTACTCCACACAGTTGGGCGTTTTATTCGATCAATGAAGAATGTTTCATCAGTAACTGCTTGTCCTCAGAATATCGTTCCATCAAGTTTTGCAATGAACCTTCTGAATTGCACATAACTCACACGTGCATGCATTTGAACATACTATACAATCATGGACCGTTTTTGGAAAAGAGACTGCAGATGAAGAGTAAGCATGGCAATCAGAATTTCAACTTTTTGCATTTGTTGCCACCTTTGAATGTCCTTGACGAAAGGTCACGGAGCCAGAGGATTACAGGAGGCTCTGCACATCATATACATCATTATGGCAAGGTTTATGCTCCATCTCCTATGGCCATAGTGACCAGAATTGCCCTCTGCACATCATATACATCATTATGGCGAGGTTTATGCTCCATTTCATATGGCAATGGCAACCAGAATTGCCACATTACAACCGGTGGGTAACAAAAAAGGAAAAAAAGAAACTGACACGAAGAAAAGGGAGGGGGAATAAGGACAAATGAAAATGAATTATTAGGGGTAAATCAAGGCAGGAGGGAGGTACGACATAATGGTCATGCATACTGTCTAAGAGAGGATTTGGCAAGAAGATGCAGGTGGAGTGTAGAAGAGGGGACGTGCTGAGGCCTACATGGGCCTCCCACCATGCCTTTGGTTTGGGGCCTTTGGGCAGCATAAAGGGCCAAGGCATAGTTTTAGGCGACTACATTTTTTTCCCCTTTTTTCCCCCCTTGCAATCAGACTTGTCTTCTTCGACTCCCAGCATGCATGCAAACAGATGACGATCACACCTGGCGCAACGGCGCCCTCACAAAGCTCAGAGATAATGTAGCCAGGAACACAGCTCAAATTCAAACTCGTCTTGAACGGCTATGGCGTTGGGCGCCAGCCAACGATTCCCACTTGATCAACTGTATCCCCAAGCAACTTGTCCCTCACACATTCGCAACACACACATCTACTAACCTCCTACTACTAACTGGCGGCTATGGCCGCGTCTTCCTCTTCTTAGCCATCTTCCTCTCTGGGCACCTGCAGACCTCCGTAGCACAACACGCACAGACAGCGCTTCCGCACGGCTCACAGGGATAATGAATGAATGACTTCACGCTGCCTCTTTATTTATACTTCGGATTGTCAAAGGTCTGCCCTTTGACCCTGGGCCCGAGGTGTGCACAGTCCCACATGGTACTTGCTGACTGGACAAAGTGCACCTTGGGACCGGGTACCGCTGACTGGGCTAGGTAGGACTAGGACTGCCCTTTGCTGACTGTGCTAGGACTGCCCTGTGCTGACTCGTATGCGGACTGACTCTACTACTCACGAAAGGCCACTTCCGGAAGTTCCGGAAGGTCGTAGGCTTGACCTTTCGGGACTGTAGCAACTGCGACCTATACTACCGCTAAGACCTCTAAGACGCAGACCTACGGTTCAAGACCCGACGACTGCACTGTATACAACTGAACATACGACTTTCAGAACACAGGTCGCCGGTTCAAACACACACGGGTCAATGGGTACAGTACATGGGTGAAGGGAAGGTCTTGGGATCGAGCCCTGGGTACTGCATCTGCTACCGTAGTAGGTGAAGACTGTTTCACTCCTGTCGGCCTAAATTCGAGGTCCTCCGAGCATACTCCAACGCAAGACAGGACCTTGAGCGGTCTCTAAAAGCTCGGTTCTTGTGAACCAGCAGTTGTCCTCCGGTTTCTGATAAGCGAACCTGATCTTGTATTGTTTCTGTGGAAGACCTCTACCTCTGGTCCTGAATACATCGTCTCCACAATGCGATCTATATCATATGTGCCACCCATATCCGGCGGAATAATCGATCGACGCGACGCAAATCGCTGACTGGTGACACAAGGTAACAATTTTGACGCGTGGAAGACTGGGTATGTGTGGAGGTGTGGCGGTATCTCTATTGTGTAAGGTCTGTCCTCTCTGCCTTTCACTTCTAGGACAGGCCACGGTCCCCTATACGAGGGCAACAACTTTTGTGAGATGTTCTCTTCTGGGGCGAACTCCGTAGATCTTGACCCATACTAAATCACCTACCTGGAACTGCGATGGCCGGCGATGCTTGTTAGCTTGTTCTATCATCTTGTGCTGAGCTTTTCTCAGATTGTCTGTCACCCTAGCGATTTCTATCTCATGCTGTAGTGCAAACTCTCTAGTTTCGGGGGGCAGTCTCTGTATCTTGTCACGATTCAGTCCTTCAAACGGCCTGCGTGGTCTAAGGGACTTGTGCAACTCATTGGGAGTTCGGCAAGTAGCTAGATGCACACTGTTATTGTAGGCGCTAGCTACTTTAGGGAGCATCTCGTCCCAGTTGATCTGATCAGGTCTAATGTACATCCCGAGTATTTGTTGCAGGATCTTATTCATCTGTCCAGTCTGACCGTTTGTCTCTAGATGATGGCCAGATGACATTAACAACTTTGAGCCATAGACTCACATAGGTTCCTGCCAATGCTGACTAGTAAACCGCGTATCTCTATCACTAACTATTGACAGCGGAATACCAACCCAGGCGTCGAAAAACTTCTTTATTACTAACTATGTGTGTGCCTCAGAGGGCAAAGGAACAAAAACCGCATACTTACTAAAACGGTCTACTACAACCATGACTTGGCTCTTGCCATGCCTACTCCTGACCCCAGCATCCATAAAAGTCAATGGGCACAGACTCTCTAGGTCCGGATGGGATAGGCAAGGGTCTCAGAAGACCCAATGGGGCTGTCGTAGTTTGATTCCGTTGGCACACTTTACAACTGCGAACATACTCTGTGCAGTCAGCTTTCATGCCATGCCACGTATAGGCACTCGTCGCGTTGGCTAATGTTTTTTGCCAGCCGAAGTGCCCTTATGTATCGTGACATTCCCCTAGGATCAGACTTCGGATCTCTTCAGTATTGGGAATGCACAGCCGATCTACGACGTCTGTCTTCTCAAACAGTAACCCGTTTGTGGTGCGATAATCAGGTTCACTTGTTGGATCCTCCCTTACTTTCTTGAGGAGATCACTGTAGATAGGGTTCGGAGCATACGCATCTCTAACTTTTTGTTGTAAATCAGTCCCTATGTCGAGATAGTGAACTATAGCTCCAAAGTAGTCAGCTCTCCTACTTGTCGCATCTGCAACCACATTGTACTTTCCTTTAACGGGTTTGAGCTCAAAGTCAAATTGGTCTCTCTCTCCGGCCCACCTAGTAAGCTTAGGTGTCATCTTGGCCCGAGCCTTTGGCCACCTATGGTCTGAATAAACTTTGAAGTGTCTCCCAAGCAAGTATTGTTCCAGTGGTCTAATGCTTGCCTGGGAGCGTAGAGTTCCCTCTCATAAGTAGAGGTTGTTACCTTTTCTGAAGGCAACTTGGCAGGCATGAACTCTGCGGGTTTGTACCCGTCGCCATCATCTTGCTGTAGGACAGCACCAATACCATGCTGACTCGCGTCAATGCTGATGACAAAAGGCAAGGATTGGTCAGTTTCCTTGAGGACTAGATACTCTATCAAGGCCCGCTTCAATTTCTTTTGGGTCGAAGTGCAATCTTCGTCCCATTTCCAGATTGCTTCTTTCTTTAGCAACCTGCGAAGGGGAGCAGAATTGCAGAGAAGTTTCTAATGAACTTCCTGTAGTAGTTAGCCAAACCTAGGAACGATCTCAACTATGCGAGTGTACAAGAAGTTGGCCAATCTCTAATTGCTGCGATATTTGTTGTTTTCAGGTTTTATGCAATCACCATCTAGGACGTGGCCCAAGTACAAGATTTCGGTCTTGGCCCACTCACACGTCTTTGCGTTGATCTTGAAGTTTGCCTCGCGCAACTTCTCCAAGATCTGCCTCAGATAAGCCTCATGCTCCTGGAGGGTCTTGTTAAATATCAAAATATCATCTAAATAAACCAGTACAAATCTATATAACCACGACTTAAACAAATTGTTCATAGAGCGTTAAAAAGTGGTTGGTGCGTTGGTTAGTCCGAAGGGCATAACTATAAACTCGTAGTGCCCATATCTAGTCGTGAACGCCGTTTTGTACTAATCATCAGGGCGGACCTCAATCTGATGGTACCCCGATTTCAAATTTATCTTTGTAAAATACTTGCAGCCTCACACCCGATCCAGCAGATCATCTATTCCGGGCAGTGGTTCTGCATTCTTGACTGTAACGGCGTTGAGACTCTTGTAGTCAATACACATCCTTAACTCTTCTTCTTTTTTGGGAACAAACAAAACAGGTGTTCCAAATGAAGACGAATTGGGCCTAATCCAACCCTTTTCAAGGAGCTCGTCTATCTGCTTGCGCAGCTCCTCTAACTCCTTAGGAGGCATTCTATGGATTGCTCCTTTGGGAGTCTTACTGCCAGACTTATCTCAATGCGGTGCTGGATGGGACACGACACTACTTCTGATGGAGGTTCTGACAAATTTGTGTACTCTTCCAGCAGCTTGGTAATTATGGGGTTGGTCAGTTTCTCTTTCTTAGGCTCAGTGATTGGCCTAACATAGGCCACAAAACCTGCTCTTCTAACTGTTCCTTTTTCACTAGTTACGCAAACGCAGGAGCGTTGAGACAACAATGTGCCAAGGAGTTGTCTACTCACGACACATGGAACAGGGGCGATATGCTGCAAATAGATGTAAGTATTGACGCTAGCCTCCCAGTTATCAAAACTATCGTCCTTCTTCCCGCTGTAAGAATCTGGGAATTTGAGTTTTACTGGCTCTTTCCGGGGACGTGCTGCAGTCTGCTGTGGCCACTACTTTGGCGCCTTCAATGGCGCCATCACAAAACTTCTTTGCGCCTTCCTTTAACTTTTTGACTTCGGTCCCGGCGGCGTGGGTAACCTCGTCGCGCGCAAACTCTCTAAAACCGGATCGCATGGCATGCAGGGTCACATCGTGACCCTTGTTGGCCTAATGTTCCTCAAACCAGGCCTCACTCAGGATCTCCAGGTACCCTGTAATCTT